TTTTGTAACATCATCGTATTTAAGAACAGGTGTATCCGTGACCAAACGTTTGATTTCCTGCACTGCCTTATCATGCTCTTTGACCTTGAACTGCTGTTTTTTCACTCCAAGTCTCAGTTTCACTTGCCTACAACAATTCATCAAGTCCAGCAGTTTGCGATCATGATCTTGCTGTGCTTCTCCATCTGTATCACCACAGCCAACTACGTTATCAGCTATTGGTTCAATACCTTTAAGTCCAGCCAATTGTTCATGTTGTTTATGTTGATATACCTCTGGTGCAACTGAGACTCCAAAAGGCTGTTTGAGCCAACTTTTCTTGACTCAGGGAGTCCAGAAGGTTGTCATGTAGCTACTGCACATGTATCCAACTTACACTGTAAAAATGCATCCCGGGCATCAACAAGTGTGAACAGACGTGCTTTAGGCAGCTTGTACAAAACATCCTCGAGAGTTGGCATTATATAATGAGATCGTTTCAGTGCCTGGTTCAAAAATTTGGGACCTATACATATCCTTAGCTTATCAGCCTTCTTTACAATCACCATGTTGCTAATCCAATCAGTTGGTTCAGTCACTGGTGCAATATGACCATCAGCCTCATACCGGTCAAGCTGTGCCTTAACTGCCTGCTTCAAGGCCACTGGCACATTGTGTGGAGCATATTGGACTGGAGGGACACTCACATCAAGGTCAAAATGAACTTCCCCCGGAACAGATTCAACAGGCCCTGTAAAAACATCCCCAAATTCCTGTAGTAACAGTTGTTTTGTCAAGGGCCCTTTAAACTGATTGTCCATCACATTGAGCTCCGCAGGGATGGAGAAATGCATCATCCCCAGACGCTCGCAGGTTGAGCCAGATAACAATGGCTTTTGGCAAGCTTCCACAATTTCAAACTCTAGCTTGTGTGTCAGTCCATGTACGACACATTCTGTCCTGAACAGTCCAAGAGATTTCATAATTTTGCCTGAGTTTAGTTTGGTTTCACTTGGCACCAAAAGTTTACCAAACTTTAGTTTGGTGTCACTTGGCAGTAGAGGTACTTCCAGTGTTAACGTCAATTTGTCTCTCAAGCACATCACATCACATGTTGCTCCCCAGTCGAGCTGGCAGGATTGACGCTCATTATTTAATATTAAAGTCACAAACCATTTCTTTCCTCTGGATTGCAGAGCACCGATTAATTCGCTGCTGTATATCATTTCAGCGGTGCTCCTCATATGCAGACGCATCCTCCATAGCGTGTAATTTGTCAGATGACACTTGTTTTTTACTTGACAAGCAAACTTTAGCGAAATGATTTGCTCTTCCACAAGACATACAAGACTTCCCATATAGAAACATAGAAACAGAGCGAGTCAGAAGGGATCCCCCGGGTCATCTAGTCTGACCTCCAGCATTTGCTGGCTCCACTCATGACATGCCCACCATGTGGACGTCCAGCCTATCCTTGAACACCTGCACTGATGGGGCCTCAACGACCTCTCGTGGAAGCCCATTCCACATCCTATGTGGAATATGCTGGACACTGCTCTTTAATTCTTGGATGCACAGTCCCACAATATTTGCATGCTGTAGAGTTGGCAGTATTTGTGCTAAGCATGTGTTGCTGTCCTTGCAGTTTGCTTATGTGCCGTCGCTGCATTGCAATGTTTATGCTGGCACTCTGTCTGTCCTGTTCCATCACTTTCAGATGTCTGTCAGTAAGCTCTGCTGTATGACATGTTTCAATAGCTGTGTTTAGCTTTAAGTCGCGCTCTCTTAGAAGATGCCTGTGTGTGCTCTCACTAGATACTCCAAGAACAATTTTGTATTAGTTCATCTTTCAGGGTGCCATATTCACAAGTTGCTGCTTTTTCTCATAAGCGAGTAACAAAGTTTTCAAGAGATTCTCCCTCCTCATGTTTGCAGCATCCAAACGCATATCTTTCATAAATGACATTTTTAGCAGGTTTGAAATAAGTTTCTAGTGCATCTAGAATGGCTGTAACATTCTCTTGCTGCTCTGCTGAGAGGTTCAGATTGTGCTGATACACATGCCTGCATTCACTGCCCATGACTCTTCTCAGGGTGGCTGCCTGCACTGCTGCAGATTTCTCATTCAGCCCTGTAGCCAGGGAATCATCCTCAAATTCAGCTCTGAAAGTTTCCCAGTTGCTACTACAATCCCCACTGATTTTCATCCCCTCTGGGGGAGGTACGCAATTCATGGCAGCCATGCGGTCGGTAGGCCTCACAGCCCTCCAGTAGCAGAAAATGCACAATGAACGGTCTCAAACTGTAACTCACAAATCAGTGCTGTGTCGCAGGGCTGCTGCATTCCAAACAAGAGGCTCTGTCCAGATTCAAGTCACTTCTGACACCATGTTTCATGTACAGAACAGACGACACTGCAAACTGTTAGTCTGAGGAGTCATGAAGCACTGTATTATTACATCCAGGTCAAAGGTAGGAGCAGGAACAGGAAGTATAAGAGCAATGCAATATTGTCATTGGTAGTTACAAGCACAGTATTTGAATAGTAACTCCGTAACAGTTCCTTCAGCAGCTCCAGAGGAAAAGGAGGAATTTAAAGAAGTCTGAAATGAAATATATAGAATGTGAAAAAGCTGCTGCCACAATTATGTGGGTGCTGCAGACATGAGAATATTTAATTCCCATGTAATTGTACATCTCCACATGGGGTACTTAAATATATTCTGCAGGGCAAAGCCTCTGCCTTAAGTTCAGTAAAGTTGGCACAATGGACAGTTTGGCTACAACAGAAGGGGGCAGCTTGCTCAACCGAAACTTGATGATTATGCTAGGTTTACAGATGGAGGATCCTGGTTTTAAGAGGGGGAGAGAATAACTGCATGGACTGCTTACAATCCTGAAATTCAAAAACAACTTAGGGAAGAGGGTTTAAATGCTTTGGGGGCACAAGAAACTGAGTTTAAGACAGACCAAATGGTTTTAGAATATGAACTGGAACAAGATAGGGAACAAGAAATCCACGTAATTACAGATAGTGATTATGTGTTTAAAGGTGTATGGAATATTTGAATTTCTGGGCCTGATACAATTGGAAGAATGCTTTTGAAAAGAATTTAAAACACAAAGAAATTTGGAAGTGGGTTTTTGATTTATGTAACAAACTGAAGGTAATGTGTTATTGTTGTAGTTGTTGCTTTTGGAAAAAAGCATATCAGACCAGCCAGGATTGGTTGATCGAAGGAAATAATTTTATGGATGAGTTAGTCAAAAGTACTAAAGAAAAGAAACAGATAGTCAGAGTAAAAGAGGTTTGGAATAAGGAGCAGTTGCTTTTAGACTTACATAATAAAGGACGTGAGGGAATGCAGAAAATGATTGAGTGATCCAAACCCTATGGGGAGTGGAAGGGAAAAGGAGAATGATTCAACAATTTTGGACAATTGCATCCCTTGCATGATGGAAAAATGGGAATATGGAAAACCACATGATTTTATCTTACACCAAAGACAGTCAGAACCATGGAGTGCAATTTAGATTGATTATATTGATAAATTGCCCACAACTAAAGAAGGATTCCAGTACCTCCTGGTTGTGATTGATGGTTTCTCTAGATGGCCAGAGGCCTATCCTACTAAAAAGAATGTTGCTCAAACAATGACAAGGAAGTTGTATAATGAACTAATTTGTAGAATGGGGGCTCTAAATATTACAAGCTCGTGTCAAGGTGGAGCATTTGTTGGAGAAGTAGTGCAAAATATGGAAGATGCTTTAGAAATCAAAAGAAAATGACATATATCATATTGACCTCAAAGTTCAGGAAGGGTTGAAAGAACAAATCAAACCATTAAAGGAATGTTAAGAAAATTGATCATATTCTGTCCAGTGATATATGATGCTATGAAAACATTGGAAGAGACATGCTAGAGCCAACCAGTGGTCCACCTAGTCCAGTACTTTGTTCACACAGTGGCAAACCAGTGGTTCAGAAGAAACCATGGCATGATTGCAACAGCTTTCTCCAGCCCAAGTCTCCCAAGTATTGGTGTAAATAGGCATATTGATTCTGATAGAAGAAGTAACATATAGCCAACAGAAAATTTGTCAAATCACCTTCTAAAGGCATCCCGCTTGGTGGCTATCAGTATGTCTCATGGAAATGAATTCTACAGATCAGCCGTGCACTGTGTGAACAAGTCCTTCCTTTTATGTCTCAAATATCCCATCAGTCAAATTCATGCTGTCCTAAGACTCTTCTAAAGGACAGGGTAAAAATGTGCCAAATAAATAATAAAGTGTCTCCCTCTATTTTTATCTACGCCACATATAATCTTGAATACCTCTACCATGTCTCACCTCACTTGCTTATTTTCTAAGCTAAACAGTCTCAGTTGCTGACATCATTGTGTTCACTTGCCCCATCATCTTTGGCAAGGTGAAGACTGTTGCTTCAATCTCATGTATTTCCCTCATTTATTGAGTTTATGATTGCCTTTAAAAGCCCAGTCAATATCGGGGGAAGGAAGACAAACTTCTGGGATTTATGATAGTTGAAAATGCAGCAGGAGGAACTTTTTCTCACCCTTGCATCACAAACTGCTCCTGACTTAAATCCCTCTTCTATCGTAATTACTATGCCTCTTTGTTCCACTAGTCACCATACTAGCAGACTAAATCTTTTCTAAACTATTTCTACATTTAACACACAGCAGACAACCTCTATATATTAATCTGCAACTTTCAAGAGTAAACATGTTTAATCAGCCAGTGGTACGAGTGTTCCCTTGGGACTCTGGAGATTCAGGTTCTAGTCCCCACTTGGCCATGGAGCTTACTGAGTGACTTTGGGCCAGTCAGAGACTCTCAGCCTAGCCTATCTCCCAGGATTGTTGCTGGGGACAAGGAGATCTTTGTAATCTGCCTTGGGTTCCTTGCAAGAGGAAAAAATGTGGGATATAGATGCACTGTATTTATACTTATACTAATGATGATGATGATGATGAAAATATCAGTCAATAACTTACGTTTGAAATGTTTGTCACAGAGAGCTGATGCCCTCATGTCACAAAGTCTCAAAGATCCTTTGCTGCTGCTGTAGACAAAGAGATTGCAATGATGAGGATGGAATTCGGATGCAGTAATAACTTCTGTCAAATCCTCCATGTTGGCTGGCTTTATATCTACAATGTCTGAATAGAAATATTTATTAAGGAATATGCTATTCTTCAGTTGAATAGTTATTTTTTACAATCTTTGTTTACCCACTTTTGTTAGTCAATGATTATTTATGAAAAGTTCTATTGGATAACATAAAAGACAAAGAATTATGGTAGCTTCATGCTCCCTTTGTGTGTAAAATAGGCCTTTGCTTGTTATTTCAATTTGCAAGTAAAAGTAAAGTAGACCAAAAAAATGTTAACTGCTCCCTTTAGCCAAAACATGATGTTTCTTGCCTGAAGGACCTCTTTCATAAATAAGTGTCTAAATTCTTTTATTAGCCCCAGAAAACAAACAAGGCCAAAGTCTCCATGTTGTTGTGAGCTGCAGAAGTGTAGTGCATGTTTGTGACCATGAAGCTTGGGAAGTGAGCTAGTGCTGCACTTAAGCAGCTTCTGTTGCTAGAGTTCAGTAAAGTAAATGATTGCTCACAACATTGGTCATTTTTGTCTCCTGAAGTGCAGGGGCAGGGGGTGGGGGGAGAGAGTGGAGAGAAAGGAAGGAAGGACAGACACTCATTATATACAGAAACTAGGAAATGCCCCAAAGGGTTGGGTGTTACAGTAAACTGATTGCAGCAATATTAGTCCTTTATTTATTATGTTATCATTTTTGTTCTGTACCCCTTCCTCTGAATTAGGTATTTCATGAGCAGAGCCGGCTGGAGATGGGGTTCAGACTAGATGGCCTGGGAGGCCCCCTTCTGACTCTCTCTGTTTCTATGTTTTCATTAGCTTGTCCAAGAATCAAAGCGCCTTCTGCTCTCTTAGTGTTGCCTCACTAGATTCTCCCTTTCTTGTTCCATTCTTCCAGTTTCCCTGGAACTGCTGCGCCCTAATATAGAAAGCAGATTCTTTTTTCCTTCCTTCCTTCCTTCAAATGTGAATATACTACCCCCTCACCAAAACCTATTCCTCTGCTGCTGTGAAGACTGATGTCTTGTGGTTCACTTCCCTGCCCTCCTTCTCTCTCACACCTTCTCAATATTTTAACTTCACTCTACTTAACTTTGCATCTCTGCACACTTGTTTATACAGATACGTGTTGCCCCAGGGGAGGTTTTCTTTTCTAACACTTTATTTTACCAACTGAAGTTAAGGGATAAACCAGGCTGATTCAAAAGAAAACAGAGGTCTGGTTTGTATGGCATACCACAGCTCATCCAGAGTTGTGAATCAACCTGCACAGAATTCACAATGGCTGGCTTTACACAGCACCATAATCCCCAGTTGGAAATTGAATGCACAGATGTGGCTGGGGTAATTTGTCATTGGTTAAATAAGGCACAAAATGCAGTTTAAAGCTTTATTGGTGGCCACAATAAAAAAGGCAGTGCATATATGAGTAACTGTTGCCTAATCACTTAATTAACAGGCAAACACATATACCATCACTGTAATGTTTCAGTGACACAAATAGTAGAACAATCAAGGTCAATAGATGGGATGCAAAAGTACTGGGTCTGAAGGCAGATTATATTATGCATGAGACTTGTAGGAATTTCTGTAGCCCAGCTTCACTAGCTACTACTGAGCTTATACCCTTTCCTCTTAAAACGATCTAGGCACTTTCTCCCTGTGGTTCCTACCCTGTTCAAGGATAGGCTAGACATGCACATGGTGGGCATGTCATGAGCAAAGATGGCCTGGGAGACCCGTTCTGACTCTCTGTGTTTCTATGTTCCTTAGGTGATTCATACTGTGGTACACTGAGAATACTAGGTTGTTCCTGGCTGTCCTGGACGATGTTATCTCAAGTGAATGGCCTTTGGTGGTTGGTTGATAATAAAATGGATTTACACCTTCTCAAAGGTGGCCTGTTCATCTCTAGCTAACAAAGGGACAGTATCCATCTATGAAAAATGTATGTTTATACAACTTTAAAATATGAGGGTTTGTCCTTGACTTTGATGCAATGTTTATCTTAATTTCATTTCTCCTGTGTCTTCTATATATTTCTAGAAGACTGTGGTTACAACACTTCACTGTATTCTGTTTGCACAGTGACAAAACAGTTGCCTCCAAGATTCTTTAAGCAGCACATGAGTACAATGATCCCCCTTCTGTTCAAGTTCCCCATCAACTGGAGTAAATAAGCATATTGACTCTGATAGCAGAGGTAATGTATAGCAAACAGGACTAGGAGATATAAAAGGAATAGCCTTGTCTTCCATGAATGTGTCCAATCCCCTTTAAAAGGCATCCCAGTTGGTGACCATTAATACTTCTTGAGGGAGTAAAGTGCATAGTTCAACTATGCAGTGGGTAACAAGTTCTTCCTTCTTAATATATGTTGTGAATCTCCCCAGCAATCAGCTTCATGGGATGACCCCATGTTCTAGTATCATGGGGAGGAACAAAAATGTCTCTCTCTCCTCTTTCTTCACACCACATATAATCTTGAATGCCTCTATCATTTCTCACTTTACTCATTTATTTTCTAAGCTTAGTTGTTGCAACTGTTCTTCACAGAGGAGTTGCTCCATTCCATTCATCATTTTAGCTGTTCTGCTCTTTTTCCACTTCAATAAAATCATTTTTCAGGTGTGGTGAATTGTACTTAATATTCCAACTTACTGGTCTTGGCAGGTTTATTTCCAGCTCCTTTCCTAAATGTGCCTAGCATGGAGTTTGCCTTTTTCACAGCAGCGGTACACTGCATTTTCATCAAACTGTCCATTACAACCCAGATATTTATTTCTTGGTCAGCCACTACTAACTCAGATCACATTAGCTTATACTTGAAGCTGATTTTTTTTTTTTGGTCCCAATGTGCATTATTTTACACTTGCTTGCACAAAACTTCATCGGCCAATTTGCTTTCCATTCTCTGCTTTCGAAGCTTTTCAAAATCCCTTTTTGTTTCATCCTTCCTGCATAATTTGATGTTATCAGTAAACTTGGCCACTCCACTGCTCACTCCTAATCCCAGACAATTCATTAATAGGTTGAAAAACATTAATTCTACTGTTGACTCCTCTGAATCCCTACTCTTTCAGTCCCTCTAATCTTAATGGGAAGATTAACAGTTTCCCAATCACTCCTTTTCTTTAACTAGTCCCTGATCCATAAAAGGACTTCCCTTCTTATTCCATGCTTGCTAAAGTTTGCTCAGAAGGTTTTGGTAAGGGATTTGTCAAAAGCCTTGTGGAAATCCAAGTAAACAAAATCTACCAGATTGCCCTGGATTGCATGTTTATATACATTTTCAAAGAATTTAAAAGGTTAGTGAGACAGGATTACCTTTGCAGAAGCCATGTTGATTCTTTTTCAGCAGGGCTTGTAACCTATATGCTTAATGAGTCTATTAGTAAAGACTAACGCTCTCATCCAATTTTCCCAGAATACATGTCAAGCTAATTGGCCTGTAATTTCCCAGATCCTACCAGATCCCTTAAAAAAACTGGTGTTCATAGAATCATAGAATAGTATATTTGGAAGGCCATGAAGGCCATTAGATCCAACCCACTGCTGTTGCAGGACACAAATTTACATCATACCATTCAGACAGCTGTCCAGTTTCTTTTCGAATGTCTCCAGTATAGGAGAGCCCACCACCTCTCTAGGCAGCTGGTTCCACTATTGTATTGGTCTGACTGTGAGGAAGCTTTTCCTCATATCCAGCCTGAATCTGGGTTGTCGCAACTTGAATTGATTATTGTGTGTCCTACACTCTGGCATCAGAAAGAAGAGATCCTGACCTTCCTCTTTGTGACAGCCTTTGAGGTGCTTATAGAATGATGGCATGTCCCCACTCAGTCTTTTCTCAAGGCTGAATATGCCCAGTTCTCTCAATCTCTCCTCATAGGGCAGTGTTTCCAAACGCTAGATCATTTTTGTTGCCTTCCCCTGATCCCCTTCTAATTTTTATGCATCTTTCTTAAATCGTGGTGCCTTGAACTAGATACAGTATTCCAGAGGAGGTCTGACTAGTGAGGACTATAGGAGAACAACTACTTTTCGTGATTTTGAAGTAATTCTTCTTTTAATGCATCCCAAAATAGCATTTCCCCCTGTTGAGGCAGCCTATTGTCCTCAATTACTCTGAGATCTTTTTCTTTTCAGTTCAGTTGAGCCATGTATCCCCCATGTTTTATCAATGTATTTCATTTCTTTTTCCTAGGTGGAGGACTTGGCACTTGTCCTTACTATTGCTTTCAGCCCAGTGTTCAAGTTAATCAAGATCACCCTGGATCTTCATTCTGTACTCTAAGGTGTTTGCTGTGCCACCCAGTTTTGTATCGTCTGCAGATCTGATGATCTTTTCTTGTACTTCCTCATCTAAATCATTAAGAAAGGTATTGAAGAGTACTGCACCCAGGACTGAACCCTGTGACACCCCACTAGTTACCTCCACCCAATTTAAGAAGGTGCCATTGATGAGCACTCTTTGTTTCCAATTTAGCAGCTAATTTTGGATCTACCTAATAGTTTTTCCATCTAGTCCAGTTTTTGCTAATTTGCTTATCAGACTGTTATGTGACACTATGTGGACAGCTTTGCTAAAGTCTAGGTAACTTATGTCCACAGTGTTCCCTCTCTCCATTTGGGGGCTACCTAGGCAAATAATGAGATTTAATGAATCTAACAGGATTTAATTTTGATTAATCCATTTTGCCTTCTATTAATCACTGCATTTTTTTCAAGATGCTTGCAGATGAATTTTTAAATAATTTGCTCCAGAATTTTTCCAGGGATTGATGTCAGGCTAACTGGTCTGTAGTTCCCAGGTTCATATTTCCCCCCCCCCCCTTTTTGAAGACAGGGGGAACATTAGCCCTTCTCCAGTCATCTGGCACTTCTCCTGCTATCCAAGATGTGTCGTGGTTCTGAGAGTTCCTCTGCTAGCTCTTTCATGACTCTGGGATGAAGTTCATTGGGCCCTGGTGATTTGAACGTGTTATTCCATCTAGGCATTCCTTGACCATTTGTCTGTCAAGCTTGGGCTGCCATATCTCACTTCCAGATTGTAC